GTGGACTTTTGCTCCGGAGTCGAAAAACCAATCGGTGCTGCTGTTTGACTCAATCGACGACAACACAGTGCCAACAACTTCTTCCTTCGAACTTCTACAGTCTTTTGCGATTCCGACTTGGGTTGGTAGAACGTTTTCTGCTGCCTGTTGAATCCTCCACGCTTTTCTTTCGTCAGTAGAGCCGCATCCGATGAAGGTGCCTGCAGCTAGTGCAGTAGCTTGGTCTTGATGGCATCTCCTGTTACCGGTGTTTTGGAGTTTTACATAGCCATAATCATTGGCTTGTACTCCTCTGGTAGACCACATAGCAGCAACGCGCCAACCCATTCTTCCGAAATCTTGAATCCAATTCCGTTTAACTGATGAGGCGTCGAAATAACTTCACGGTTCGAAAAATAGTGTAAATTTCTGTTCAATGTGATGCACATAAATGGAGCGTCGTATAAAGTTACATTATGAATCATGTTAAGTTCAGAGACATTTGAGAGTTGTTTGAAAAGTTCATTGCGATAGTGTTCGCGTTCTCTCTTTCGCGGTTTGTCGTGCGTGTGTGTGTGCCCCGTAATGGGGAGGCATCGGTCGCGAAGCCCGGCGAAGGTCCAGAACCCCGGAGAAGGAAGCTCCGGTGTGCCTACCTCGAACAGGTTTGCTGTTCTCCCCATGGATGGGAATATCCAGCCAGCTGTGTTGGAAAAACGCAGTAAGAAGAGAAAGAAGAATCGAGGCCAGTCCGATGTCACTGCGACGAACAACAGCGATGTTGGAGATTTCGGTGACGCTGCCGAAACCGTGAATACTGCCGAAATGAGCACGGCAAAAGTGAAGCTACCTCCATTGGTAGTGAAAAATGCCCATCTTAATGTGCTCATTGCGGATCTAGCGACGCTGGGTGTTAAAGCCGAATACAAGTTGGGCAGAGTCGGCACTAAAGTGATGCTCCGTACCAAAACGAAGTTTGACGTGGTCGTCGCCCACCTGAGGACTTCCAAGGTGGAATTCTTTACCCACGACATTCCCGGTGAGAAGCCGTTCAAGGTCGTCATCAGGGGCCTACCAAACTTCGACCCGAAGTTTATCGAATCAGAAATCAGGGACCGGTACAAGCTGGCCCCAAGTGCCGTGTATCGAATGACAAGAAGAGACGAGAATGTGAAGGCGTATCCGGATAGCCTTTTCCTGGTACACTTCCAGAAGGGAACGGTGACGCTCAACGCACTGAAAGCCATCCGGTCCATCAATTCCATCATCGTTCGCTGGGAGCCTTACCGTGGCGGCCATCGCGATGTGACTCAGTGCCAGCGGTGTCTGAACTTCGGACACGGTAACCGCAACTGCAACATTAAGCCACGCTGCGGAAATTGCGCTCAAGAACATGCCACCTCCGAATGTGCTGCGGATGAAGCTGTGGCGTCCAAATGCGCCAACTGTGGTGGTGCTCACCAAGGATCCAACAAGCAGTGCCCTAAACGCGAGGATTTCAAGCGCATCCGAAATCAAGCGTCCACCAACAATCAACCAGCACGAAGGAAGGATAAGGCCCCGGCTTTCAGGACAGAGGACTTTCCACCTCTTCGTGGACAAGCGAATCCCAGGGTGCGATCCGCGCCCCCTCAAGAAACGTCTGGATCTTCTGCTGGACAAAGCTCTCCATCCCCCCCTGGATTCTGGAGGCAACCAACAGCTCAAACAAACAATCCCGATCTGTTCTCAGCAGACGAACTGATGGAGATTTTTATCAACATGACCGGTGCTCTACGTAAGTGCCGCAATAAGCCCGAACAGATCCAAGTGCTCGGTAAGTTCATCATCCAATATGGTGTCTAAACCGCTAACCATCGCTACCTGGAACGCTTGCTCTGTAAGAGCTAAACAGATTGAGCTTGCCGACTTCCTCCGCAAGCATAGCATCGACGTGGGTCTTCTAACCGAAACCCACCTAAAGTTCGGTGACAGCTTCTGGTTGCCTGACCACAACATTATCCGGCTTGATCGCACCAGCTCCAGGGGGGGTGGTGTAGCGGTCATCGTCAGAAAGGGAATCAAGTTTTGCACTCTGCCCCACATCCGCACTTCTATCATCGAGGCCATTAGTGTGGAGGTGGAATCACCAACTGGAAACGTCCGGTTCATCGCTGTTTACTGCCCACGCCAGTGTACCGCAAGCAACGGATTAGGAATCCAATTCAAGAAGGACCTGACCGCCATCACCCGTACTAGCTCCCGATTCATCGTTGGGGGCGACCTGAACGCCCGCCATGAAGCTTGGCGGAACTACCAGAGGAATCGAAACGGATGTCTATTGTTCGACCACGCACAACATGGACTGTACACAGTGCAATTTCCGGACGAGCCAACTTTCATCTCTCCAGCGGGAAATCCCTCCACGCTAGACTTTTTCCTGTCAAACATCGGACTATCCAAGCCGGAGGCGCACAACGATCTCAGCTCCGACCACCAACCGGTGGTGACTGAAGTCGGTGTCAACGTGGTTCCTGCTAGAGGCTGCCTGCGTAAAGACTACCACCATGTCAACTGGGTGCAGTACGGCCGAATGGTGGACAGCAACATCGATGAAAATCCACTACTCGACACCGTAGATGACATCGACCGGGCGTTGGAAGGACTCCAACAGGCCATATCCGAGGCTGACGAGACATGCGTTCGACAAGTTCCTGTGAGGGGTAAGTTTGTTGCTATTGATTCCCACACCCAATTACTGATTCGGTTGAGAAATGTTCGTAGACGGCAGTTTCAGAGGACTGGAGATCTGGGCAAAAAACGTGAAATGGCCGATCTGAACAGGCAGATTGCTTCCAGAATGGACTCACTCCGAAATGAAAGTTTCGGGCGTGTTGTCCAGAATCTGGACGACCGCTCCAGACCATTCTGGAAGGTAGCCAAGGTCCTGAAAAATCATCCCAAACCCGTTCCACCTCTCAAAGTCGAAAATGATGACGATCGGCTTTTAATTACCCCACAGGAGAAAGCAAATGCGATCGGCGAGCATGTCGCTTCATCGCATTTGCTTGGCTCGACTATCCATAGTCCGCTCGATGATCAGGTTGCGCAATGCGTTCAAAACCTAGATGCCTCCCCTTGTGTCGTGCCTCCGGCGGATATGATTACAGTACAACAAATTTGCTCAGCGCTGAAATGCACCAAGAACATGAAGGCTCCCGGGTTTGACGGTATATTCAACTTGATCTTGAAGAGACTCAGCATGAAAGTGCAGTCTCTTCTAACCGCTATCTTCAACAGATGCTTGGAACTGCACTACTTTCCAAGCATCTGGAAAGTAGCAAAAATCATACCAATCCGCAAACCCGGTAAGGATCCAACATTGCCTTCAAGCTACAGACCAATCAGCCTCCTTTCAGCGCTGAGCAAATTGTTCGAGAAACTCATTCTCAATCGTTTGCTCAAGTTTGTCGAGGAAAATAACATTCTCCTTCCGGAACAGTTTGGATTCAGAAAGGGGCACTCCACCAATCATCAGCTAGTACGGGTGATGAATAACATCCGAAGTAACAAAGCTGTATCCAAGTCCACAGCCATGGCCTTGTTAAACGTTGAAAAGGCGTTTGACAATGTTTGGCATGATGGACTTGTGTACAAGCTTTGTAACTTCAACTTTCCATTACATCTGGTTAAAATCACCCGTAACTACCTCCAACAAAGGTCGTTTAAGGTATCGTTGAATGGTTGTCTTTCCGACACGTTTTCCATCCCAGCAGGAGTCCCGCAAGGCAGTCTGCTGGGCCCCTTGCTTTACAGCATTTACACTTCCGACATTCCTCCCCTTGGAGACGGTTGCGTGTTTTTCCTGTTCGCAGATGATACCGCAATAGCCGTCAAAGGAAGGATGCCTCGCGAAATAACGAACAAACTTCAACGATGCCTTAACGCCTTTGCTGATTATGCCACCACGTGGAAAATCAAAATCAATGCCACCAAAACACAAGCGATCATGTTCCTCCATCGGCAATCGCCCAAACTGAAACCTGCTCCATCTTGTACTGTAATCATGGATGGCACAAGGGTTGAGTGGTCCGCCGAAGTAACCTATCTCGGGATGTTGTTCGATGAAAAGCTCCTCTTCCGTTCGCATGTAGAGAAAACAGTAGTCAAGTGTTCTGCCTTGGTTAGGTGTCTGTTTCCGCTGATTTGCCGCAGATCCCGCCTCTCAAGGGTGAACAAACTGGCCGTCTACAAACAAATCATAGCACCTGCGATCCTCTACGCAGCTCCGGTGTGGGAATCATGTGCACAGACTCACAGGAACAAAATCCAGGTCGCTCAGAATAGAGTGCTGAGGATGGTACTTGATCGTCCTTTTGACACTAGAATAACAAATTTACACGAAGAGGCAGGCATTGCCAAAATAGATTCCAGAATTAACGAAATTAAGACTAAATTTGCACAAAAATGTAATTTATCAGAACATGCTTTGATAAGCAATTTGTATATAGTAGATTAGGTAGTTGTAGGTTAGTTGTAGTTGTAAATAGTAGTTATAAGTAGTCTCCTTTTTCAAATTTTCAAACAAACCAATACCACCAAGGTGGTCATTCTCTAAAACAGGCCTGATAGGACTAGGAACTGTAATTAATAATAATTGAAATTTCACAGAAACTAAAGATGAAAAGACGCATCTGTGTCACTTGATAAGTTATACATGTAAACCACACAAATTCAAGAAATATAAAAAAAAAAAAAAAGTTCAGAGACATTTAATGAAATGTTGCACATATTGTATACAAAAGCCCATCTTTGTAAACAACATTGCATACAAGTAGATCGTTTGCGTTTAATGAAACACAAGTTTACGTGTATGAATGTTTACATCACAAATAAAATACTGAATCTTTTGCTGTGTTGACTCACGTATTCACTAGTTTCCGCAGAAGTCCTACTCGCCCAGTTTTAGTCCTACAGACTTCCTTCACTGTTGCCGCTTCCTCCATATATACATAGCAACAGAATTATTTTGGCTCTTGCTT